CCCAATGAAAAGTCCCAACGACAACTTAGTCTCAGAATAATTGTAAGAGTTAATATATCATTTTTCTAACTTAGAGACTATGTAAAGATTCAGAGAATTAAAAAAAAAATTCATGGGTGCATACATCTTTCTCCTAGGTTCTATCATTAATATTTAACTATACTTTGTAGGCTTAGCTTTTTAATTAAACATTTTACTTTGAGGTGGTCATAGAGTCCCACGAGGTTGTACAGTTTAAAAGAGAAAACTTGTGCACTTGTTTCCTGGCTTCTCTCAAGACGAGCGTCCTGCAAAGCTATAGGGTGGTTTCACAGCTCTGGTGTTGTCTGTCACTGGTACAGCGAAACTGCGGGACATCTGCAGTACCTCGGGAAGCATTTGGCTACTTATTTATAGTCACATCCACGTCTTCCATACCCACCCCTTCTTTAAGCCCTGGTCACCATGAGTCTATTCTGAATTCTCATAATTTTGTATTTTCAAGAGTGTTGTATAAATGGAATCTTATGCTATATAGCCTTTGAGATTAGCTTTCTTTCCTTTAGCATATTTGAAATTCATCCAAGTTATATCTTCCTTTTTTTTCTTCAATATTTCATGGCAGTCATGGATTCCCCAGGTAACAGACCATTTAGCCATTCACTATTCACTAGAACCATCTAGATTGAATTACTGCCAAATTTCATGGTTAGGTTTTGGTGAGAGAATAAATTCTTATTTCTCTGGAATAAATGCTCAGAAGTATAATGACTGCTAGTCTATATGGAACTATATGCTTGGTCTCTTACCTACATTTCTGTCTTAGGGTTTCTATCTCTGTGAAGAGACACCATGACCATAGCAACTCTTATAAAGGGAAACATTTATTTGGGTGGCTTATAGTTTTAGAGGTTTTGCCCATTATTGTCATGGTAGGAAATATGGTGGCATGTGGACAGAAGGTGAGAGTTCTATATCTTGATCCACTTTCCTACAACAAGGCCACACCTCCAAATAGTGCCACACCCTATGAGCCAGCCAAGCATCCAAACACAGGAGTCTAGGGTCATTCCTATTCAAACCATACCTTTGAAATTAGGGTTTTTTTGTTTGTTTGTTTTGTTTTGTTTTTGTTTGCTTTATTGTTTTTTTTTTTTTTGACAGGCTTTTAGGCTGTCACTCAGGCTGGCCTGGAACTCAGTATGTAGCTCTTGGCTGGCTTTGAACTCTTGGGACTCTTTCTGCTGTAGCCCCCTGAGTGCTTGGGTTTCAGGTGTGAGGTCACCGTGGCCAGGCTGGGGACTCTTTGCTGCTTTTTAAAGACATTTTTATGGTTTTGAAGGCATATGCTAAGAGTTTGAATGAAACTCAAAGGAAGTTAGGAGAAGCAAACCTTAAGTAGCATTTTGAGCAAAGGCTGAAAATGCTCCCAACTAAAGGTCATGTTATCAGGCTGATAAAGTCTCCAAGGTAACGTGTTGTCTGTCTTCAGAGGTCACGTTTATTAGTTCCTGTCTGGGCTGGTGTCAGATCCCCAGTTTCTTCCTTTTGTGGAGAGGTCTTTGGTCGGGATGTGGTGCCCAGGGAAAGCCTGTGTGCATCTGCCAGTTACTCTGACTAAAAGTACCCCAGAAGGAGTAGCCTTTCAGTTTCTCTTCTGACTGCAGTCTCTCTGAAGGGTAATCTTGAAATACGTTAAAAAGTATTTCCGGGTATCCTAGCTTGAGCTCCCTCATGGTAATTTGTTACAGTACCCCAAGGATGCTAACAGAATATATCCTTTATTGCTTTCCTAGGTCCCCAAAGATACCATTTATCTTGTTTGTTTTTGTTTTTTGAGACAGGGTTTCTATGATAGCTCTGGCTGGAACTCGATTTGTAGACCAGGCTATGTAAGGAGTATGGCATCTCCCATCAAGGCTAGCCTCAAACTCTAGTAGATTTGCTTGCCTCTGACTGGGATTAAAGGCATGTGCCACCACTGCCTGGCAATAATAGCATTATCTTTATATTGATTAAGTTTTTATTTTCTTGTTTTAATTAATTATGCATGTATGTTTGTTTGTTTGATTTTCGAGAAAGGGTTTCTCTGTGTAGCCTTAGCTGTTGTGGAACTCACTCTGTAGATCAGGCTGGCCTTGTACTCACCTCACAGAGATCTGCTTGCCTCTGCCTCCTGAGTGCTGGGATTAAAGGTGCATGCCATCACCACCTGGCAAAGATTTGTATAATTAGCACTAACCACACAAGTCTGCTAAATTAGTTTTTTATTTTCCGAGGCCCAGCCATGCTATGTTGCTCTGGCCCATTTCCAGCTCCTAGGCTGGCAGTAGTCTCTCTCCTCAGATTCCTCTGGAGCTGAAGCCACCTTGACCAGCAAAAGTTAGGTTTGCGGATGCTCACGGTGATCCCTAATGCAGGTGCTTTTACTTAAATAGATGAAATTGTCAGTTGATGTTGTGCTGGCTGTTTGGTGTCAGTTTTGTTCCAGTTAACATTGTTTAGCATCAGTTTTCGAACATATTTGTTTCCTGAGAACAAATGCTCTTGTTTGGTCATCCTAAAACTCAGTTAATTTCGACATCTTGCCTCTTTTGGCAAGTGCTTTGAGCCACACTCCCAACCCCAAAGATGGTTTTTTAAACCTGCCAAGTTCATGATTGCTAGATATTACCAACTAAGATGTTTATCTCAGGGAGCCTCTCAATTAGCCAAGAATAATAATCACTTTTTTTTTTTTTTTGACCTGTCTTGCTGCTTGGTCCAGCACTCATTATGTAGCCAAAGGTAACTTGGGGCCACTCCTTTTGCCTTAGCCTCCCAAGTGTTGGGATTACACATATGAACCATGCCTACCCAGTTTAACTACTTTATTCATAGAAGGGAAACTCGAAATAGTAAAACTGCTGGCAAAAAATAATAATTTAGCTATTTTCTGGTCTGGCTTTAACTAGATGTCAGGTCTTGGTGGAAAGTTATGACTGGAGGTCAGTATTTATTTATTTGTTCAAATTTCTTTTTCAGACAGGGTCTTAGAGTCCAATGTCTGATTAATGACACATCTTCCCGGCTTTAGTTTACGATTCTGAGGATTAGGTACCACTGTGGTTTTCAGGCTTTGAAGTTGATGGCAATGGTATGTTGTGAATCTGATAGATTTTTTTTCTAGAAGATAACACTATCTTTAAACCTTTGTGGGCCTAAAAGCCTCCTAAATTTCACAGGACTTAAATTCTATGTGTACCCTAATGATAGATGAGAAACCTTGTGCCCTGCTGATGGGAGTACGAACCATTCTGGAAATCAGTCTGGGATTCTCTCTCCTAAACTGGAGATATGACCTAGTCATGCCACTCTTGGGCGTGTATCCTAAGCGTGGTTGTTAGAACAGGCATGGCCCCTCAGAGGTTCATGTATTTGAACGCTTGGTCATTAGGGAGGGATGCTACTTGAGAGGCATCAGAGGTGTGTCCTCTTTGGAGAGGGTGTGGCCATGTTAGAGTCTGCGGGAGTGGGTTTGGGGGTTTCGAAAGCTCAGACCAGGCCTGGTGTCTGGCTCTTCTGCTGCCTGCAGATCTGGACCTAGAACTCTCAGCTACTTCTGCCACTGTGCTCCCGGACTAGCCCTCCCAAACTGTAAGCAAGCCCCAATACCTCGCTTTCTCTTTTGAGACCATGGCGTCTGTTCCCAGCAACAGAATCCTGTCTAAGGAATCTGTGTCCACTACTCGGGTATTCAAGTTCCCTGCTGCACTACACAGAAAAGCTGGGAAGTCAAATCAGCCTAGGTGTACATCAACCGAGGAACGGATAATGGAAATGTGGTATGCGCACAGAATGTAATTTTACTCAGCTGTTAAGGAAAACGAAATTACGAAATTTGCAGTTAAATAGGTGAAACTGGAAATATTATACTGAGCAAGGTAACACAAGGGTCCAGAAAGGCAAATGCTGTATGTTTTCTTCTCACGTGCAGATCTTATCATCAATTCTTTAGTGTTGCGTGTTTAATTTGGAGAACCTCAGGAAGCCGAGAAACTAGAAAAGGCCAGTGGGGTGGGGAGTTCCCCCCCAGGGGAGGAGGGATGATAGAACATTTTGTAAAATGAAAGTGAGGAAATATTGCTTGTGGAACAGTTCCAAGAGGGAGATGGGTGATGGCAGCGGAGGAAGGAACAGGGCAGGGGAGTGTTAATCAAAAATGAAGGGAATGAGTATGAAAAAAACAAAAAAACAAAAAAGCAAAACAACTACACTAAGAAAGCAATAAAAAAGCAAAAACAAAAAACCCCCAAAACCAAAATCTGAAAGGAAGTGTGAAGGCTAGATTTGCTAGTTGTAGACGAGCCTTGCATATGAACACCCTATCACATTGAGCTACAGCCCCCAGCACAAAAGAGTTTTACATTTTTATACTCTTGCCTCAATGTACCTGCAGTATCTCTATACCTGTTGACTTATGAGTCTTACTTTACACACGGGGCTGAGTCCTCTCCAGACTTCTGACTCTTCCATCACTGGCCCAGTTGACTTTGGATTGCGGTGGGGACTCCTTTGTCCAATGGCCCTTTTGTGCTGGGGACATACAAGACACATTCTCTAAGTAAGGACTTCTTTGGGGTTCAGTTATTATTTTTTTTTTAAAGATACTGAATACCTATTCTTTCTTTTGTCTGTTAAAAAAAGAAAAACCCACCAATTTTACACTGACATTTCTTGTTGATTCAGCGTTTAATAAGTTTACTCAGAATGCACCTGCAGACCAAGTAACAGACCCTAGTCACTAACTACTGACTAGGTCATTATGTTTTGAATTCCCTTAATCAGGAACCATGGGACAGTCAACTACAGGTACATTCCAGACCCTGCCTGCTTTAACAGTAACACAGGGTTTCCTCTTGGCTGGCTTCGTTGTTGGAAGCCAAATACGCACATGTGTGTTCATTTTCAGGCCTTGACTTCGTTGGTGAGGAATTTAACCCCACCTCCGGTCCAGAATGGAAAAACAACGCCCCCATTCCCGCCCTCGGCTTCCTCCCGCTCAAGTCCTCTCCAGTTACAGAAGTTCAGATTTTTTTTTTTTTCCTAGAGAGTTAGACGAAAAGTCCGGCACCAAGAGTGGAGTTGTAGTATCCGCTTATTTGTTCTGCTGGGACCCGGGTGAGGAAATCACACTTTGTAACTCAGTCTCCTGGGGGAGAAGAGGCCAAGGATTCCTAAAAACTTGAATTGCAGCGCTTGGCACCAGGTTTGATTGACAGAGACCGATTGAGCAAGAGCTAGGGGGCGGGGCGGGGCTGCGTGCCGGGGCCCCCGGGTGAGACAAAGGGGCTTCAGCGGCCACCGGGAGAGGAAGGACCCGCACCGGCTGCTGCTGCCGCCGCTGCTGCTGCTGCTGCGCTCGCGCTAAGGGTGCATTTGGTGGCGTGTCTTTCTGCTTTGCAGAGAGGGCGGGTGACCGAGCGAAGCGGGCTTGGCAGGAGGCAGGGGGAGGTGGAGAGGGGGTGCAGAAAGGGGGCGCGGGTCCGGGTGGGGGCAGTGCTGTGTCACGCGGTTCGTCGCCGCCGTCTCAGGGTAGGGGCTGTCCTTCCGGGTTGGAGGCGCAGCGCCGCGGGGCCGAGCCCGGGTCTGCCAGCGCAGCAGCGTGGCGTCTGCTGGCAGCCTGGGGTCGACAGCTGTCCGTCCCTCCCGTCCCGCCTGCCGGTCCAGGTGAGCCTAGGGGCCCTGCGGCCGGCGCCTGGGATGGGGGGCGGGGGGTGGTGGTGGAAAAGGCGGGCAGGTAGCGCCGAGTCCAGGTCCCACGGCGAAGGGGACTTGTCAGAGAGCAGGAGGGGGCGGGGTCGTCAGAGTCGAGCAAATGGGGTGCAAAGGCTCCTGCAGGAAGGGAAGGAATACTGTGCCCTGGGGCGTGTGTGTGTGTGTGTGTGTGTGTGTGTGCAGAGTCGAGCAAATGGGGTGCAAAGGCTCCTGCAGGAAGGGAAGGAATACTGTGCCCCGGGGCGCGCGCGCGTGTGTGTGTGTGTGTGTGTGTGTGTGTGTGTGTGTGTGTGTGTGCAGAGTCCTGGCAGAGGACAAGGACAAGCAACGAAGGCTGCTGTTCAGGTGCAGATCTTGTGTGTGTGTGTGTGTGTGTGTGTGTGTGTGTGTGTGTGTGTGTGTGTGTGCAGAGTCCTGGCAGAGGGCAACGAAGGCAGCTGTTCAGGTGCAGATCTTGGGTCCCTGGGTGAGGGTGGAGGCAAGGACTGCAAAAAGTTGTATATGGCTGTTTGGCCCTAAGAGTGATCGGGAGAGAGGTCACAGAGGGCTTTTGGTGGGCGGTGGACCTAGAAGAATGGCAGCTGGACTCCCTAAGTTGTACTTGAACCTCGAGAGTGAGTGTTCAGGCAGGGCGCTGCTCGGTTGGGTACATACGAAAACGTGTGTGCGAGTGTAGGTCAGGGCTGAGTGGGGGTAGTGGGGGCCAGCTTCTACAAGACAGAGAGGGGCCTGGATTGTCCAGGCAGGAGACAGTGGTGGGGTATAGCCCCCCCCTCCCCCCCCCCGCAGAGCTGGTTCAAACTTGATAGGGACAATGACTACTGTGTAGCCAGGGCCAATGGGCTTCCACAGGAGGTTATAAATAGCTGTCCAGTTGCACGTGCCAACGGGTGGCAGTTTAGTTGCTGAGGGAGGGGTACCTACCACCTGTGACGGGGGCTATGGCACCCGTGGCTTTGGTCGAGGTCATGTTGCCTGCCAGGGTAGGGCACTGTGTCCTTGTTGGTATGCCTAGCTTTTAAAAAAGCATGCCTTTGTTTACGCTTGCAGGTGTCCTTTATTCGTCCTGTGGCAGTCATTAGGAAACTTTGTCTAGAGGGATGGGGCTTGCTTGCCCACTCCACCCCATTTTTTGGGCTAATATCAGTTATTTTTTTGTTCTTATTTTAGTGTTCTTATCCTATTTTTTTATTTTGAGACTAGGAAGATCTCAGTCTGTAGCTTTGACTGGCTTGAAACTCCGTGTATAGCCCAGGCTAGCTTTGAACTTGAGTTGATCCTCCTGCCTTAACCTCTCTAGTGTTGGCATTGACTACTATCTGCCAGCACTCAGCTCCATCCATTTTTTTCTTTTTTTCTTTTTATTTATAGTAAGGACAGTTTAGGATTATTCTAGTATCAGCAAATAGTTTATCTTTGCTGATGGGATCAGTTTTCTACAAGACTGCACAAACATTTTGTTTTCAAAGCAAAAGTTCTGAAACTCTGTTTAAGAAATCTATTGCAAAATGACTCCAGGATTCTCAGCCTTAGTTATTTAAGTGTCCAGTCAAAAATATTAATTGACTTACTCTGTTTAGTGCAAGGCACTAGGCCAAGGATAGTAGCTGTGAGTGGAACAACCAATCAGGAGTGTATGTTCTTTTAAATTTTCCCACAGCCCTATGATCAGGGCACTTTGCTTTAATCCTCACAACTCTATGAGGTAGGTCCCCCCCCTTTTTTTGTTACTATTATTCTGACTTTAAAGATGAGGAAATCAGGTACAGAGGAACTGGGTGGTTCAAGCAGGTCACCCCTATAATTGCAGAAGGGTCAGGTGCTTGCCCTAGACTGTAGAGGGTTTTAACATTTGTTTGGGGAAGGCTGAGGGTGTAGTTCAGTGGTGATATAAGTGTAAGGTTCTGGGTTCTGTCCTCAGCAACACACACACACACACACACACACACACACACCTACCTCTACTGGGGAGGCATTTATCCTTATAACTTACAGTATGGAGCTTCACAAATGCCATGTAAGACAGGTATTGTATTGTTTTAAACTTTGAGCTGCAAAATGACCCCAATATTGAGTCAAGGCTTGAGAAGCACATGGAAGGTCGGGTAAATTGAGAATTCTGAAGCGAAGAAAAGGGGGAAATGTGACTCTTGGAATAAACATGGATTAGCCAATGATAAAATGGTTCGGATATTTTCTGAATCCCTTCCAGAACCATTTATGTGTAAGCTGGGCAGATGTGTTCCAGGTGCAGACTCTTTCAATGAGCAATTTATATGATTTATCATGCTCAAACAGCAAAGTGGTGTTTTCTTGGCATATAAACATTTCCTTTTCTTTCTTTTTAGTAATTCACCTTCAAAGAACCAGTGATTTGGAAAGTTGGGAGCAACATGGCACATCTGCTAAAAACAGTGGTGACTGGCTGTTCATGTCCTTTCCTTAGCAACTTTGGGTCCTGTAAGGTTGTGCCTGGGAAGAAAGACTTTTTGCGAACATTTCATATCCACCAGGCACTGTGGTGTAAATCGACTGTAAAACCAGGTAAAAATTTACTTCACTAAGTCCTTGATGGTACATGCAAGGAAAACTCATGTTTTTATGACCTGGTACTTGTGAGGGATTATTACGTACAGAAAACAAAACGAGCATTGTTTTTTCTTCATATTTTTCACTTACAGAAATTCCATTGGCATTGCCAATAGAGAAGATAAAAAAGTAACGGGAAAAGAGGTTAACTGGTTGTGTTGTATTTAGGAGACCTTTGCTCATAATAACCATTTCTCCTAGCTTCCTTTGTTCCTAGAAAGTACTGGGGGAATTGTACCATATGTAGTTCACCTCTGCTCGGGAGTTAGGAATGAAAGTATATTAATTGACCTACAATAACGTTCCTTGATTTGGTAAAACGCAACCTCAATGTAGTTCATGTCAGAAATGTTAGCCATCCTACATGCTGTTAATTGCTACTGTTCAGCTTGGTTTCTGTATTTGTTTACATATATGTCTGTGTGTCTTTGTGTATGTGCACACATGGATGAGTATCCTCTGGATACCTTTGGAGCTGGAGTTACACGCATTTGTCCGTGTCTTGGTGTGGATGCTGGGAACCAGATGTGAATCCTTTGGAAGAGCAGTAAGCACTCTTAACCACTGAGCCATCTCTCCAGCTCCGCCCTTACCACTTTCATCACTTGGGTTCGAGCCATCATCCTCTGCCACTGAAGTGATGTATGGGTTTCCTAAATTGTCCCCGTGTGTTCAGCCTCTGCCCTCCTACTGTTCGTCCTGCACATGACAATGTGCATACCCTTTTAAAACTGTAAGAGCACGCTGGTTCCTTTCTTCTGAACCTCTGTTGTCTGCTTGGCTCTTAGAGAAAAGCACTGAATGTTTACAGAGGCCCATCAGGTCATCTCTGATAGAAGTCTCACGTGTTTCGGTTCTAGGTGCAGGCCAGATGGAGGAGAGGCTCAAGGGGTCACCTTCTAAGCTGAGTCACCTCTGTTACAGTTGTCTTCCCAAGGACCCCACCCCCGCACACTGCCACCCATTGGCCAGACCTTAAGCATGTGGACGTAGATACTTAGTTTGTATTCCAGATGGCGTTATGCCCAGCTAAGAATGGCACTTAGTTCCTAAGATGAAATAACGGCGTGGATATTTCTTCTCCCTCTTAAGGCTTGCAGGGCTGTTGTCTAGTCACCAAGGAACTCTGTTGCCTTGAATAGACTTAGTAGCCGCTCTCCGTGTTCTCAAATGACAAGTCACTGTTGGCATCGCACCTTTCCCCAAGTTTATCTTCAAAAACTTTCCTTTAATCTGCTCTGCAAAGCCAGGTTACCTAGTGATAACGCTGATAAGATAGAGGCAGAAGAGGCCTGTACTTGTGAATAAATCTATAGGCATCAAGATCTCTTACGTTAATGTTTAGCTTTTGATTTTTCAAAAGAATTTTCTCAAATATTTTAAAAATATTCTTTTTTCTATAATAAATTATTAATTTAATTACCATATTGAATAGCATGAAAAGTAATTCCAGTCAGTGCGGTGATATATTGTTTATGATATAATGAAGCTTGCCTGGAGATTAGAATGCAAAGCTAGCCAGAGCCACAGAAGTCCAGGCACATACCTTTAACCCCAGCAGCCACACTAGTTAGCTGTAGAGGCTGGGCAGTGGTGGTGCACACCTTTAATTCAATCACCAGAGGGGTATATAAGACAGGAGCTCATGCAACATTCAGTCTCCAGCCACACTGACATGATCACCTGAGCCGTGGAGGTAAAAGCTCTCTAGTGGCTGGCTGCTTTGCTTTTCTGATGTTCAGCTTGAACCCCAATATTTGTCTCTGGGTTTTTACTATTTGTGCTTTGTGCTACAAGTTAGTATTCCTATTTTTTCTCAATTGCTTCTTTTCTTACCACCACCAACCCCCATCTTTTTTTTTTTTTTTTTTTTTTTTACTTTTTTTTCTTTTTCTTTCTCTCTTTTTTTTTCTTTTTTGAGATAAGATCTCTCTATGCATTCCTTGCTGTCCTGGGGCTTGCTATGTAGACCAGGCTGTCTTGCCTCTGTCTCACTAATGCTTGGATTAAAGATGTGGGCCACCATACCCAGCTTCTATTTTTATAATAGGCTTGTTCAAAGAATGGTCCAGAGTTCATGCAGTATGTTTGTTTGCTATGTCTCTATGACATATGAAAGACTTTTTTCATTATTGGAAATCAGACCTAGGTCTTTAAACATGCCAGCCAGGTATGCGAGCACTTGTTTATATCCTTTTCTGTTGAAGAATACAGTTGTTACTCGGTAGAATTTCCAGTGTTCCAAGTTTGACTGATGGAATTCCCTTGATTGGTTCTGCTGAATCAGTATCTGTTCCTCGAATTTTTAAATAACATTTAGTTACAGCAGAAGTCTCTGTCAGCTTAAGGATATATTTCTGGCAGGAATACCTTGCTGGTAGTATTGTATATTATTGTATTACATTGAGAAGACTGCTTGGCCGATGTAGGTGCTATTCTTGTGATCTGTCTGATATGAAGTGCCCATCAGCTTTTTATTCCCCATTCATATGTTTTCAGATGTTTTGATTGACGCTCCTTAACTAAATTCATGATTTTATTAGGGCTTTCGAAATGGCGAGAATCCATCATTCTCCATTTGTCAGCTACAGTTTTTCTATAAGGGAAACACATTTTCTCTGTTGTTTAGTTGCCTTGGGATGGAACTGGAATGCTCTATCTCTATGTATAAATGTTCTTTACCATGGCTTATTAGTTTTGCTAACAGTTGGTTCCTAACCCCACCCCCTACCCCAAACAAATAATCATGAGGCTACTGGCTTTTTAACCTCTGGGAGTCAAAGTCCAAAGGAGTTGTCACTGGGCCTCTGTCCAGACGTTGGCAGTTCTGCCTGCATCCTGGGGACTGTCGGGGAGCAGTGTTTCCTAAACTTTTCCAGCTTCTGGGGAGCTCCTCTAATGATCGGGTTGTGGCCCTGCCCCATCTTGACAGCATAGGTGCAGCATCCTCTCGTTGCTGCTGGACTAGGACTCTGGTTTCCCTCCTTTACATGCAAGGACTCTGTGATTGCATGAGCATTCCAGATAACACAGCCTATTCTTCCTACTGTACTCCAAATGATTAGCCACCTTAAGTTTATCTGCCATCAGAATTCTCCTGTGCCATGGATAATGTTCTGTATTCAGAGGTGGTAGGGATCAGGACGTAGAGATCCTTGGGAAGCTGGTATTCTGCCCATCACATTGCATATTCTTTCCAAGTTGAGCATTTAAGATACTATGTGCTTTTTTTTTTTTTTTTTTTTTTTTTTTCTTTCTGACAATCAGCATGAGCTCATGGATTATAATGTCTTTGGAAGCATACTACTCATTATTCTTTTTAAAATTTTCATTTTGTTTTATGGTTGTTTTGTCAACATATATGTCTGCGCACACTTACATTTCTGGTGCTTATGGAAGATAGAAGAGAGAGAGCCTCCTGGACCTGGAGTTAGAGACAGTTGTGACCCGCCTTGTAGATGTTGGTAATTGACCCTTGGTTGTCTGGATGAGCAGCCTGTGCATTAGGTTGGCTCTTATATGCATTTTTTTTTTTTTTTTTTTTGAGACAGAATCTCACTTTGTAGCCCTGGTTTGCTTTGAATTTGCTATATAGATCAGGTTGGCCTTGAACTCCTAGAGATCCATCTACCTCTACCTCCTGAGGGCTGGGCTTAAACATGTGCACCATCACTACTGGCTCCCATAAATACTTTTGACTCTGTCATCCTTAGTAGCTGCCTCGGCTTTCCAAATTTGGGGCTTAGGTTTGAGGTTGTCAGATGAGAAGTAAACTCCAGAGAAGTGCATATCTGACTTAATTTTACATACGGATCTAAATATTTGCCAATTTCTTGTTTTTTTTTTTGATCCCTATTCAGGTGAAAATATTGTAAATTATCAGTGTTTAAGTAGTATGGGACTATAAGACTATGTTCAAATGAGGATATTTTCAGGTTGCCTTAATTGGTCTAAAGTCTCAATAAGTTACTCCATATTAATATTTTGATTCAATTTTTAATTATATATTCAGTGGCAAGGATGGAATTTTTAAACTATAGTAAAGCCTACATAGAAACATACTATTTAAAAATATGTTACTGGCTGGTCATGGTGGCTCACACCTTTAATCCCAGCACTCAGGAGGTAGAGGCAGGCAGATCTCTGTGTTTGAGGCCAGCCTGGTCTATAGTGTGAGTTCCAGGACAGCCAAACCCTGTCTTACTGCTCCCTGTAAAGTATTAATAGCTCCATATTGATTAAAGCATGAGAGGAAACTAATGTCCTATAGGTAAAGCTATCCTGAACTCTGCATAAAGACGTTTGTTTTAAATGCTTTCTTTTGGGTTGTAAGGAACAGAATCACAATGGGCTTGTATTTTGTGCTGAGGGTTTACTGTGTGGATTCCTGGGGGTAGGGGTGGAGGTGGGGGACCCAGGTTATCCCTCACCTTCTTGGAGACTAGAATGCACTCTGGTCTTCCCAGTTACAGCTTTTTAATAGCCACACTTGTTCTGTGTCAGTGTTACCCTGGCTTCTCTTTGATGATTGTCTCATGGAAGTCAGGGTAGGGATTTAAGGTAAGAACCCTGAAGCAGGAGCTGAAGGCCATGGAGGAACGCTGTTTATTGGCTGTTCCTTGTGGCTTGCTCAGCCTGCTTTCTCATACTATACAGGATGATCTGCTCAGGGGTGGTACTGCCCCCAGTGAGCTGGGCCCACCCACATCAGTCATCAATCATCAATCAAGAAAATGCATCATAGACATGACTGTAGGCAAATCTTCTGGAGGCATTTTCTCAATTCCTCTCATTTTCTTTTCCCAAATGTTCTATCTTCTGTCAAGTTGACATAAAAATAGCCAACCTAGTAGGTTAATCACTGGCCAACATGGACTGTCCTGAACCCACAACTCCTCTATAAGTCATGTCATACACAGTGGCTGCTGGTTTCTTCACGTTTGGCTTGTAGATGATCATCTTTGACCTGGTTGTTGAACTCTTGCCTAATCAGTCGCTGGTAGAGTCTCAAGATTCGGCACTTGGAAATCTCTGGGAAGTTTTCTCTGGCCAAATTGCCAGGAAAGGGGCTCGAGATATGGCAGTCATTACAGTATCTATTGTAGAGCTATTCTGCAGTAATTTATTTCCATCTTTACTAAAGGTCAGGATAGGAAGATTGTAACCCCAGACGCCGAAGGAAGGAGGTTAGCATGGTGTGTGATGTCTCAACTCAGGGATTTTTTTGTTATGTATAGAGTAAGCTTACCATGTGCCTTAAAAGAGATGCATTCAATTAAATAAAATATCTAGTGCATTCAGGACAGTTTGTACAAAAAGTTATTACTTTCAGTAAAGGTAAATGCATCATGATTATGAATCGTTATTTTCAGTAACAACTTGTGTATAGTGTGTTTTGAAATCTGCTCTATAGCTTTTTTCTAAACTTTGGTTTTGTTTGTCTTTAGGAATTCCATATAAGCAGCTGACAGTTGGGATCCCCAAGGAGATTTTCCAAAATGAGAAGCGAGTAGCATTGTCTCCTGCTGGAGTTCAGGCCCTGGTCAAGCAGGGCTTCAATGTTGTGGTGGAATCGGGAGCAGGCGAAGCTTCCAAGTTTCCGGATGACCTCTACAGAGCAGCAGGGGCCCAAATCCAAGGGACGAAGGAAGTCCTGGGTTCTGATCTGGTGGTCAAAGTAATTACGCCTTTCTTCCATTTATAGTTTCTTTTCCTTTCTGACTTGGGGTCTTACTGTGTAGCCCTGGCTGGCCTGGAACCCCCAAAGATCTGTCTCAGCCAGGGTTGGGATTAAAGCCACCACACCTGGCTTTTCTAGTTTCCCGAGTGCTCTTCTTTTTGCTTTTAATTGGCACACAGTAATTGTCCATATTCATGCACTGTGATATTTTGACATATACATGCAATGATCAAGTCAGAGCAGTTTGCATATCCATTGTATCATACATTACCCATTTCAGCTTTTCCTATTTTAAAGTCATGCTCTTTTTCTCAATGAAATGATTCTGTATTGTGAATGATTCTTTATGTCCCAGGATATGTGATCAGGTTTTTAACTATGGAGGGGAGATGGAGACCATCATTTTTATATTCTCTGGGTGGGAGTTTCTTTGAATTGACTAGGGGAAATTTTTGCTACATGGCCCATGTATATGCAGACTTCCTGCTGTTGACTGTATACTGCCAGGATGAAAAGAAGACATTTAATCCAGCCTGAGATGCCATGTACGGCATCTGATGACGGAAGGCAGTGATTTACACTGACACTGTGCTGTTCTAGAAACAGCATGAGCATTCTGGAGAAGGTAGCATTGGGTTGAGTGACCAGTAGGCTAACTGACTGTTAAAGGTCGAGAGATGGCTCAGACCCATGTTCAATTCCCAGAAACTACATGGTAGCTCGCAACTGTCTGTAACTCCAGTTCCTGACACCCTTACCTGGGCATACACATGCAGGCAAAACATCAATGCACGCTTAAAAAAAAAAAAAAAAAAAAAAAAAAGAAAGGTCTTGAAATACCAGACAGTAGAAATTTATGTGCTGAGGAAGTTTATAACTAAAATATGAAGAAAAAAATCATATAAAAGGCTGTACTATGTTTAACATTAAAGATAACTAGAGTAGCTTCTTAAATTTAAACCATTAAATATCCTGCAATTTAGGCAAGGAGAGAAATAGGAATGAGAAAAGTGAGCTTATTAGGTTAAAACAAACTTACTCTCTTTATATAAGAAAAATAAGCTTTTTTCTTTATTGATTCATAAGAAGAATCATTCAAATAATTGTATTCCTTCCCTCCCCACAACTCCAGTGAATAGCATAACAGTATCATCTTTCCCGAGGCTGAGATTGAACCCAGGTCCTCAATCATGCTAAGCATGAACTCTACCACTTAGTGACATCTCCACTCCTAACAGCATGATGGGGTGATTTTTGAGAAGATACAAAATAAGTTTTTGCTATGAAAGTTATTTATAAAATTTATGGTGTAATTCAGCTGAAGCTTTTAAAAAAAGTTTTGGATTTAAATATATTTGATGATACACTTGATATGTAGGAAAATAACTTATAGAAAGTAAAAAAAAAAGTTACAACCCATTTCAGAATATGTTTTAGGGCCCAAATATTTTTTTTTTGAGATATATCAAAAGGGAGGGGGATATTCAGTGATTACATGAATTTGAAAGTATTGTGTGTTCTTCTTAGCAATTCACTTAAAATTGAACAAGTCATTAAACAAATGTATGAACAAGCTAAAGCTGTGTTGAGAAACGTGCACTATACACACTTAGATTTGACCCAGGGCCTCTCTGCTGAATCGAGCCTGTTCACGTCCTGAGGAACACATTCAGGAAACAGCCCCTTGGGTTGATAATGCTCAGATGACAGTAGTCTCAGCTGAGCAGTTGATAAAGGCCAGCAGGACCAACTCTAATTAGCAATCCTCTACTTTTTCTTAATCTCTGCAATAGATTTTTATGGGGAGCAAAAAAGCAGACCATGTAAAAGAGATGGTTTTGTGTGTGTTTGTGTGTATGTACACAGAAGTGCATGTGTGTGTGTGTACCAGAAGTGCATGTGTGTGTGTGTGTGTGCACAGAAGTGCTTGTGTGTGTGTGTGTTTTGCTGGTTTCACACATGCCAGGTTTTAAGTATTCTGCCGAATCACACCTCTAGCCCAAAGAGTCTGAAACGTTCTCAGCCTAGAGTCACGTGAGTCACCGCTCAACACCTGGCATGGGAATAGTAGGCAAAGGTGCCTTAGGTAAATTAGGATGAAATGCCATTGTCAGAAGCGATGGAACCAGTGATTTTGTTTGTATTTAAAATGCACATCATACAGGCTATTTCACACAAAACAAATATAGTGAAACTTAGATGTATAATTTCATATATGTATGATAAATGTATGCTACATACTATATATATATATATAATGTACTATATCAATATATATTGGCAATCAATATGTTATCTTGAAGCTAGAGTAAGCTTCATTCAGTGGAGATATTGGTTTGATTTGTGTTCATTTATAGGAATGGAACTTAAAGTGACATAAATCTATACCGTGGAGTCTTTAGTTGACAGCATTATTAGTGTCTTACTTCCCCCTATATTTATGTCTGTCAAAATTAGTAAAGATTGGGGATCGAGTCTTTCTTTTTTCTTTCATCCATTCATTCTTTTCTTTTCTCTTTTTTGAGACACTGGTTCACCATGTAGCCCTTGCTGTATTTGTAGGCTAGGCTCAGAGAGATCTGCTGGCCTCGGCCTCTGCAGTGCTGGGATTAACTATGCATACCACCACTCAGTTCTAAGATTGAGTCTTTCAACACAAAACTATTTTTTTTTTGTTCTTTCCCCCTAACATCTGTTAATTTTTAACAGAGTAGTAAGTTTGGGGAGATGAGGTTCATTGTAAAATCTTTATAGTATTTCAGTGCTCTGCAGCTGTCACACCTGACCTGGTGCTGTACAGGTATTCCCAGAGTGTGTGCTTTTCACTCAGAACGGTTTACCCAGGCCGTTAGTCACAGGGTAGGCAGTGTGCATGTTCATGTGTTGATGTTAGTCACAGGGTAGGTAGTATATATTTTCATGTGATTTGAGTACAGGCAGACGTTTATAGATGGAAGATTTACCTCAGAAGTATTGTGTAAGCAACAGTGTCTTATATAAATTGTCCTGTTTACTTACAAGACACAGTGAAGGCACTGACAGTTTTAACCTGTGGTTTGACTTATGTTTCAGGTGAGAGCACCCATGGCTAATCCAGCTTTAGGCGCTCATGAAGCTGACTTTTTAAAGCCTTCGGGAACGCTCATTAGCTTCATTTACCCCGCCCAAAATCCAGACCTGCTAAATAAACTCTCTGAAAGAAAAACTACTGTTCTGGCGATGGACCAGGTTCCAAGAGTCACAATTGCTCAGGGCTACGATGCTCTCAGCTCCATGGCCAACATTTCTGGGTAGGTATATTCTTTCCATGGGCATTCCTATTGTAGGTCTTCTAGAGGTCTGCCTTATAACTGCTGGGGACTGAGCTTTTTACACTTAAATTAGCTTTTATGAGCCATTTTATTATTTTTTTTACAACAATCATGTACACGTATACATTTACGATATGTTACATGTCTTAACTTTGTAGTTGGAAGCAAATATTTACACTTAGCTGCCAGAGTGTTTGCATGAGGAAGGTTTTTTTCTTTACATGTTGTGTATGCAGAAAATACATGCATTGTATTGAAATCATTGTTTTTATAGGTCACTAGTAGGTTGAATACTGGCAGTTTTATGTGTTTTAATGGAATATAGGTTGAGAACCCTTGAAAATTTGGGACCAGAAGTATATCGGATTTCAGGCTTTTTCATATTTGCAATATTTGTATAATGAGGTGTCTTGGCATGGGATCCAAGTGTACACTGGAATTTATTTATGCTTCATCTGCATTTTATGCACAAAGGAAGTTTGTAATTAAGTTTTGGTAATATACTGTACAAGAAATGGTGCATTTCAGATTGTCTTTTTTTTTTCCCCCTTTGAGATGTTTTAAATACTGTGTTGAGTTTTTGTATTTGAACTGTGGTCCACTGCATGTTCTCTGCGAGATTAGGTGTGGGACTTGCTGCTTGTAATAATGTCAGTGCCCAATGTGGAGCAGTTTTGATTTTATATTAGGAGTGCTTGGCATACTGCATTATTAGTTAATTAGTTAACTATTTTGTAGTCTAACTGTGAGGTACAGGCCGTCCTAGAACTCAGTATGTAGTTCAAAGGTAGCCTCAGGTCTCAAAGTTGTGATCCCCCCCACCCAGTCTCCTGAGATCTGAAATTCCAGGCACATATCATTATGCTTAGGTTGAGCATCTTGCTTAGGGTTTCCTTAATAAATTCATAAAATAGTTAAGGAGTCAAGAACATTTCCACACTAGAGTGGAGTTTTACCTGGTGTCAAAGTCTGTATCTCTGACTTAAGCCTGTCCTCTTCCTTCTGAGGCCACAATAACTATGGGCTTCATTTCTGTCTGTCAGTGCTGCTACATTCCCTGTTACCCTTCTTTCTGAGACAGGCTTTCCCTGTGTAGCCTTGGCTGTCCTAGAACTTGCTTTGTAAACCAAGAGGGCCTTGAACTCGCAGAGATCTGTCTGTCTCTACCTCCGGAGTGCTGTGATTAAAGGTGTGCACCACCACCCACCACCCTGCTTGTAACTCTAAACAATCTTTTTTTATTTAAATTAAAAACAATCTCATTTTACATACTAATCCAAGTTCCCTCTCCCTTCCATCCTCCTACTCCCCCCACTATCTCCCCATGCCACCTTCGCGCCCCCCCCCACTCCTTAGGGAGGGTGAGGCCTCCTATGGGGAATCATCAAAGTCTGTCACATCATTTGGGGCAGTACCGAGGGCCCCCCCCTCCCCCCGTATCTAGGCTGAGAGTATCCCTCCATAGGGAATGGTCTCCAAAAGCCAGTTCTTGCACTGGGATAAATACTGGTTCCACTGCCAGCAACCCTAAAGACTGCCCAAGTCCCCCAACTGTCACCCACGTTCAGGGGGCCTGGTTCTGTCTTATGCAGGTTCCCCAGCTGTCAGTCTGGAGTCCGTGAGCTCCCACTCGCTCAGGTCAGCTGTCTCTATGGGTTTCTCCAGCCTGGTCTTGACCCCTTTGCTCATCACTCCTCCCTCTCTGCAACTGGATTTCAGGAGTTCAGTTCAATGCTTATCTGTGGGTGTCTGCTTCTGTTTCCATCAGTTACTGGATGAAGGCTCGATGATGGCGTTTAAGGGGAAGGGCATTTAAGGTAGCCTCTCCACTATTGCTTAGATTCTTAGTCATCCTTGTGGACTCCTGGGCATTTCCCTAGTGCCAGGTTGGTTACTACTATAACATTTTTATCACTGTTATATCCACACTACTGACACTGGGCTTTTTTTTTTTTTTTTTTTGGCAATTCATGGCTTCTGGCTAGTAGGTTTCCATATGGCTTTCTCAAACATCCTTAGCAATTAAGACATTGTGGGAGGCATCACCATTCTTGGTTTCAAATTATACTACGGATTCACATTAAAATAACATGGTACTGGCAAAAACAAAAACAAACAAACAAACAAACAAAAACAGACATATATTGATCAATAGAATAGAATCAAGAACCCAGATTCTATATACCTATGATCAACTGGTTTTTCACAAAGATGAGGAATGATAACATCTTTTACAAAAAACAAAAACAAAACAAAACAAAACAAACCAAGAAGAAACTTGGTCTTTACCTCTCACCCTGAACACAAATCAGATCCAAGTGGACCAAAGACCTCACTGTTAGATTTGAAACTCTAAGACTTCTAAGAGGGAGTGCACTCAGGGTCTATCTAGGCTCAATAAGGACTTTCCAAAAGGGACCTCAGTCACTCAGTAAATAGGGCCAGCAATCAACAAGTGGGCCTTCATGCAATGAAAAGCTTTTGTACTGAAAAGGAAACTATCAATCAAAGGAAGAGGCAACCCACAGAATGGGAGAGATTCCGAGAGTCTTCTGCAGAACGTTACATAGAAAATCTTTCTGAGAGTCTTCTGCAGAACGTTACATAGAAAATCTTTCTAAGATCTGCTCTGCTTGCAGGAGTATGGCCATGACCATGCCTGTCCTGTGAGGGACAGGGATGACTACCGACTTCCTGCAGGGGTGGGAACATCTGGAGTAGGGTAATGCTTAGCAAAACAGTGTCTCAAAGAAACTAATTTAATTAGATTTTCAGCTAATGTGAGTGAGGCATGAAAGTATTAAAAGGGGAAATAGTGCATGTAAAAAAAAAACAATAGGAATAAAGTCGTTCACGGAATCTTTGAACTGGAAGGTTCTTAGGTTTTTATTTTTTAAGTCTATCGTGTGTGTTTGTGTGTGTATGAGTGAGTATGGGCTTGCATATATGCTGGTCAGAGGACAGCTTTCAGGAGTAGGTATTTATTTCCGCCTCCTTGAGGAAGGATCTCGTTTGTACTGAGCTATGTGCTCCAGGCCAGCTGGCTTGCATCATCTTCCGAGTTTAATCCCTAATGCCCATGTGAAGGGCCCCTTGCATCCTCCTCTCCTCCCTTTCCCATTCCCATCTTCTCCCTTCTTTTCTATTTATTCCCTCTGCCTGGCAGCCGCCCCCTCCCCCAGCTATTGGCTGATCAGCTCTTTATTAGACCAGTCAGGTGTTTTAGGCAGGCAAGGTAGCACAGCTTCACAGAGTTAAACAAATGCGGCATATCTTAGCGTCCTTAAATATTCCACAGCGTAAACGAATGTAACACACCTTAAGCTAATATTCCACAGCAGGTTGGAGGGGTAAGTATATAAACAACGCTTAGCAATAACTTGTCATAGAGTACCATGTAAACATCATGTGTCTGCAGTTATGTAGCTGGCAGGTTATAATAGCCTATGGACTCTTTGCATTTTATTTTATGGAGCTTTCTATTTATTTTATTTTTTTATTTTTATTTTTTTCCAGTTATAAGGCTGTTGTTTTAGCAGCCAATCATTTTGGAAGGTTTTTTACTGGTCAGATCACAGCTGCTGGAAAAGTCCCCCCAGCTAAGGTACGTACAACTCCCAGGGTTTCTTCATGGGAAGAATCAAAGGTTATTTTTAAATGTGTGCTGTGTGTTAGCTTCACTGATGCTTTTGTACTTAGAAATCTAAAGTAACCTAGTGTTGAAACTTTTAACTTTTTTGCTTGTTTGTTTTTAAGAATTTTCTTTTCAGTTTTTGACTTAGTCTTAAATGGATTTTGGCTAGGTTGATCTGTGGGTCAATTTACTATTATTTTTAAAAAATGCTTCAAAGTATTTTTCAGTAAGTCTGTGGTTCTTGATTGCCACAACATCATAGTTTGTAGAAAACACTTGGATTTCCTCATCCTTGTCTATTTGCAGGGAGGGGCAGCAAGGGGAAGGAGATAACGGGAGGTGGTATTAAGTTTATGAAGGAGAATAAAGAGAAAAAAAGAAAAACAAGCAGACCATGGGGGAGGGGGGAAGCAAGTCCTTTAAACAAAGGCCTGGGTGTTTAGCAAGAATATGTATGCGTGAACCCCATAGATGTGGGGTACGCGGGACACTAAACCTCCTATGTCTGAAATATGGAAGTTCATTTTATTGCATAAGATCATGAGGAAATGCCTGGCATTCAGACTTGCCAGAAACTTGATGCTGGCTGAATGCGTCACCGTGCGAGCCAACAACTTAGTTTTGATTAGGATCTATGTAGAAAGGTATGGATGTTTAGAGGAAACTTCTAATTGAGGATTAAGAATGTGAGACAAAAACCAAGAGGCTTAACAGGAAAGTCAGTGAGTTATTAAAAGGTGGAAAGGTGACAGTGTCTAGTGTTGGAATTCCGTGGCCCAGGGGTAAAGGCTTCTGCCTGCAGGCCTGATGACCCGAGTTCAATTCCTGGGACCAACAGGTAGACGGAAGAAACCAACAGCTATGAGCTGTCCTGTGACTTCCACGTGTGTACTGTGGCGTGTTTCCTCCTCCTCTACCCCTTGCACACAAATAAATAACATGCCACTAAGAAATAAATTCGGCTTAAGTAGCTTTGGTTTGATGTGAGAAATGATTTTCTAAAACTGAAGAATTAGATCCCGGGAGGTTTATCATGTAGAATTATTTAAAAATTATTTTTTAAACAGTGTCTAGAATGAAGTAAAATCACCTTAGTGCGTATGCTGTGTTGAGTACTCAGTTTAAGCACGAGAGGGACAAGTCTGAACAAGATGAACACCATCCCTACTGCACAAAGTTAATGATGGATGGGTCAGGATCAGGATGGGGAAACCCAAATAAAGATATGACTTAATGTAGCTATAAAAACTGAACCAGATGATAGGGTGATGTACGATGACTATGTGCTAACCTCCTAAGCTATGGGATAGGGAGGTGTAACATGAATTCTGCTTGTTCTTAATAATAAAAACCCAGAGGCAGATACTTGGGTTCAAGCTGAAGATCAGAAAAGCAGAGTAGCCAACCTCTAGAGAGTGCTCAGACCAAAGGGGCCACCCTGTCCTCACTCAGACTGCATCCCCAGACTGCACTGTTCTCAGACTGTCTCAGATTGCATCTGTGTCCGCCAGATCTCAGACCGCACCGAGCTCCGTCTCCTCCCGCCTTATAGTCCTCTCCATCGCTGGGATTAAAGGCATGGGATCCCAAGTGCTGAGGTCACATAGTGTGTTTTAGGAAAAGAAGGCTATTGGCTGTGGAGAGTGATGGTGAACAAGGTGGAGGGTGATCCAAGATGTGGAAAACAGAGGTCTGGCTTGGTGAATCAGGGTCATCCTCATCCCTACAGGTTTATCTGATTGTAAGTCAGATAGATGTGCCTCCCTGTGCCTGGCTCTCTATGTGGGAGCTGGGGATCTGAACCCAGGTCCTTGTGTTTGTACATCAAGTAATGAGCTGTCTTCCTAGCCTATTAGTTAAATGTCGGTGTACAATAGATCTCTTGAATCTTTTTATTTTTGTCTCCTAACTGTAATCATTCTTTTCCCCTTCAGCTCCTTACCCTCCTTGCTTTAGAATATGATCAGAATGATTTCATGCATCTGTGCTATTTCTTGACAGGAGAATTGGCCTAGTCAGTCCTGTGCATTTTAAAGACCCGGTGTTGTTATTTAGCGTTATTGGAACTTTTGTGTAGAACAGGGTTGGTTTGGAGTTTAGTCCCTGATGTTTGTTTGCCAAGGTCCCTTTCTGACCCAATTTCTGTGGACTTTGCCTTCTTCTGAACAAGCCACATCTGCTGGCATTGTTCCTGAGGTACTGCCTAGGGAGATCCTGGAGTTACACAGTTTTGACAGCGTAGACTTCTTAGACAAGCAGAAAGGAGCTTGGGCCTGATGGGTGGGTGGGAATTTACAAACTTCGTGGGTGACATTTGTTTGTCCCTTCCAGAGCAAGGAGTTGCCTTCATCTAGCCATTTATGGGAGGCACAGCAAGCCTTGCTTTCTCCGGAAAGCCCGTTCAAGGCCAGAAGCAACAGTTTTCACTGTTTCTGTGCAGATGGGGGAGACTGGAGTTTCTGTGGGCTTCTTGGGTTGTCTGAGCTCTGACCATCCTGTGGTTAGGGAGATTCACTTATATTGATCGGATTTCAGATGTGGGCCACTCAAGATGACTCCCCAGTTCTGTGTTTGGTTACCAGGTCCTTCTGAAGCATTTGAGCTCAAAATAGTAGTTGGCATGATATTTTGCCAAAAGTTGTGCCCATCCCTGACACTTTGTGTGTGTGTGTGTGTGTGTGTGTGTTTTATAAACCCAGGAAGGTCTTGGCTTTGGAGAGAGGGACAGGTAGTTGGAGTGCCACCCTGGTGTTTTGGTGGCAACTTCTGTACAGTGAGAATGGACTTTGTTAGTATTGGACATGTGCTCTGGCCGCTGAATGTCAGATTCTTAGGAAAGTTGTTGGTCGCTGGCAGAGGCTGTTTCTGCGATTTTAAAAGACACAGGAGAGACCCTTTGCTCCATCCATCCATTGATGGAATGCTAACTATGTTGTCAGGTGCCAGGAGTTGCCAGCTGGTGATCTTTTGCTATCATCTGGTAACAAGCTTTAAAACATTCCATGCCAGGTGTGGGTGATGCACGCCTTTAGTCCCATCACTTGGGAGGCACAGGCTGTGGAACTCTGTGAGTTCAAGGCCAGTCTGGTTTACAAAGCAAGTTCCAGGACAGACAGAGAAACCCTGTATTGAAACAAAACAAAACGAAACAAAGCAGACAAACAACAATAACAACAAACCCAAACCAAACCAGAACAAAAAAAAAAAAAAAAAAAAAAAAAAAAAAAACAAAACATTCCTTGTTCTTTTTTTCTCAGATCCTGATAGTTGGTGGTGGGGTTGCTGGACTCGCCTCTGCAGGTGCAGCCAAGTCGATGGGGGCAGTCGTCCGGGGATTCGATACAAGGTGAACGCTTAGCTAGTAATTAACGTTTAACTGGAAACACTTGTTTCAAATGGGGCCCCTTACATTAGAGATAATAGTTCACCAAAGCTTTTCTATTTCCCCTTTCCAATTGAAAACATATTTTTTTTTCCTTTTTAAAAGTTGGCTCAATTAAAAAAAAATGTATTGTTTACTGGGAAAAAAAATTAGACAAGCTAAGCCTCAGCATAGCAGAAGTAATAAGGTAATTGAAAATTAGTAGGCTACAGTTGTTTGGGTGTATTTGCAATGGGGCTAGAGCTGTCTCTGATGAGCTTGCAGCATGTTGCTTTACTGCTTTACTTTTTTATCTTTAGAGAATGCTTTTGGTTACTAGGGAGGGGGTGAACAAAGCCAAGAACATTGGGAGGAGACTATGCTAAACACTGGCTGGGTGGAAGCAGCTAGAACTAACTGTGACTGATCTCCAAAGACTTCTTTATCTGGCGAGACTGGGTCTTGTACCCAGTCCTCATACATGCTGGGCAAGTGCTGTACTACTGAGCTCTATACACAGCGCCTTCAGCTCTCTCCCTACCTAGGAATAGCAGCACATGGGCTGTAATTGTAGTGTTTGTGCTAAGGCATCTGCTTTGGCTATATAGAGAGAATTGACAGTTTTTACCTGAAGATTATAGGACATGTGGGAGAAACTACTTTTCTCTAAGACAGCCATAAAACATTTTCCTGAGTTGTTTGCAAAGAGAAGTTTAGTTAAAGTCTTTCTTCATTGCTGATGATGCCAGATAGCATTCTGTGTGTTTATCAACAATGGGGGCCCTAGAGTAATAACACTACAGTCTGTTTGCTTTTTGTAAAAAAAAAAAAAAAAAACCAAACAAAAAACAAACAAACAAACAAAAAAACCAGTTCACAAACTTATGGGGACTGAGGCCCCCAGAACACTTTGTTTAAATTTTAAAGTACTTCTATCTAATAAAAGTCATTTATGTTGGAAAATCTTACAATGAGAACGAACTGAGAGCATTTGTAAAAGAAAAACCTCAATTTGTATGTTGTGAGTGATATCAAATCGCAATGTATATCAAATATCATATCATTATCAGTATTGGGACCAAAAGGGTTATAACTGATGTTGGCAATAGAAATATTCTTCTTTTAGTTTAAATAGAAGTTGGGATTCTTCTTTATCCCCCTAAGAAAAAGTATGTAAGTATGCCTTTGTCTAAAAAGTCACTGGAAACAGTCAAGCCAGAGATAGCAAAACAAACTTTCGACTTTGGACTATGTAGGGTTTCCTTAAAGCAGTGGTTTTCAACCTGTGGGTTATAAACCTCTATTTCCAAAAGTATTTACATTATGATTCATAACTAGCAAAATTAAAGTTATGAAGTAGCTATGAATAATTTTATGGTTATGAGACACTACATGAGGAACTGTATTTGAGGGTTGCAGCGTTAGGAAGGTTGAGAACTGCTGTCTCAAAGTATATGTAATGCCTGGCAGTGGTGGCGCACGCCTTTGACCCCAGCACTCGGGAGGCAGAGGCAGGCGGATCTCAGTGACTTTGAGGCCTACAGAGTGAGTTCCAGGAAAGTCAGGGCTGTTACACAGAGAAACTGTGTCTTGGAACACTCCCCTCCCCAAAAGTGTATACGTAAATGAGGCCTTTGATGTATGTATTGGGGTCTAATTAAGTACTCTTTTCCCTTTAACACTCTAGAGCTGCAGCTTTGGAACAGTTCAAGTCTCTTGGTGCTGAACCCTTGGAGGTGGACTTGAAGGAATCTGGCGAGGGCCAAGGAGGATATGCGAAAGAGATGTCCAAAGAGTTCATTGAAGCTGAGATGAAGCTCTTTGCTCAGCAATGCAAGGAAGTGGACATCCTTATCAGCACAGCACTGATTCCAGGTATGCTACTGGGGAAATGGTTGCCTTTAAGGTGCTTTTACAAATGATAATTTGAAATGTAAGGTGAGGGTTAGGGTTTCTATTGCTGTGATAAAACACCATGACCAAGAGAAAGTTGGGGGAGGAAAGGGTCTATTTCAGCTTACAATACTCAGGTGACATCACTGATTGAAGTCAGGGCAGAAACCCAGAGGCAGGTACTGGAGCAGAGGCCACTGATGAGTTCTACATACTGGCTCGTTCCTCAAGATTGCACAGTCTGCAACACAGCGTGGTCAGTGCCACAGAAGGACTATCCCACTACAGGACCTCCTACTCAAGGGGTGGCCCCACCCACAATCAGCTGGGTCCTCAACACACCAATCACTAATTAAGACAGTGCTCCAGACCAGCCTATAGCACTATCTTATGAAGGCATCTTCTCAATTGTGGATCCCTCTTCTCAGATAACTCTAGACGTTTAATCTAGTCTAGTGATGAGTTCTTTGGCCTTTGCCTTTTTCCAGCTTGGCAATGTGAGTCACAGCTTTAGTACCTGCAAGGTTTCTCGTGGGGACAGCCAGCCTGTAAATAATGGCATGGCGAATTATTATCAACTATGAAAGCTTGGCTCGAGCTTAGGCTTTTCTACAACTAGCTCTTACAACCTGTTTCTGCATGCTGGCATGTGGCTCAGTTACCTCTGCTCTGTACTGTTTGTCCAACTCTTCAGAGTCTTGCTGGTGTCTCGCTTTTCTTCTTCCCAGATTCCTGCCTATTCTCTCTTGCCTAGCTATTGGCCATTCAGCTTTTTACTAAACCAATCACAATGACACATCTTCACAGTGGCAGCGAATCTTATCTATCATTGTAATTGTCATTGTAATTGGTCCTAATAGCTCCCAGCCACTTAGCCAGAGCATCCTTGTCTTCCGGGTTAACCCCTGCGAAGGCCTGGGAGGAGCATGTTTTCTCGTGGACCTTTGCTTTGATGGTGCAGTAGGAGACCAACCAACGTCTTGCAGCACAGGACAGGCAGGAAGACCACCAGCTCAATGGGGTCTGCGTTGTGAGCATTCGCCACCAGCTGAGCCTTGTTCTCCACCAAGGTGGTGACTGCATTGCTCCCTGGAGCAGGCAACTGCTTTGCCTGAGGGCTGGGGCTGCCACAGTCACAGCAAAGCAGCCACAGAAGCTGTGACTCAGGGCTTCAAAGCTGGATTTCACTCACCACAGTGATTTCAGTTTGAAGAAATTCACACACCGTTGCACTTGTTTAAATTTCTTTTGTTTGAGTGGTGTGTGTGTGTGTGTGTGTGTGTGTGTGTGTATGTTAGTGTTAAGAAAGTGAAAAGGCGAATGATAAAAATCACTGTAGGCCCTATTGCCTACATCACACGATTTCTCTCAGTGTATCTTCATGAAATTGTGTTTATATCATAGGTTATTTTCTATGTACAACATTCTATTTTTAAGTGGTGTCTTCACTAAGTTTCTGATGAAGTGCTAATTTGTTTCTGTTCTTTCCAAGACGCTATGTTTTCATTGTCGAAAAGCACTGAAAAAAAAAAAAAATCTAAAGAATTAAAAACAAGTCAGAAATTCCATCAGAGATCACCATGGCTAATATTTTGATGATAATGTTTCCATGTGAGAAGGTGTCTATGTGTGTCTGTATGTATTTATGGGATTTCCAGGAGATTCTTTTATTTAAGAATATGGAACTTTTTTTCCTCATTGTTTCCCTTTGCATGTTTTCATGGAAAGATTTATCACGTTATTTACATGTATACCTGTGTGTGTATGCCATGTGAGTGCAGTGCATGCAAACCAGAAGAGGGCATCAGATTCCTTGGAGCTGAGTTAGGGGCAGTTGATGTGGGTGCTGACCCTCTGCCAAGAGCAGTAGGTGCTCTTAACCGCTGAGCAATCTCTCTCTCCAGCCCTGATGTGTTCGAGAGCTGCGGCAGCAGGGAGTATTTTTAGATCTTAATATTTTCTATATGATGCTTGTGCTGAATTTATGATGTCAAACCAATGAACATTAATTGATCAGTAAATAGTTTGGTGTGCATAGATTGTAGAGTGAAGGTATTCTCCGTCTTGAGTTTTCTTACCTCTTTCCCATCCTTTAGTTTCTGCTGTTGGATAATGAATACCATGTTGCCTTTAATTTTTTTTCTCTGTTTCCTGAAAGAAAATGGGCCAGACAAGGAGAACGTAGAGTCCACAGTTGCTACTGTTTGATTCTACTCAGGGAGCCTCCCTGTTCTTTATGTCAAAACTTAACTTTTTCTCTCTGTGACTCCTTTGCCTGAGAAATTTTTTACATGAACCTAGGTATATTGGTATATGAATCTAACGTTTAGTGGAATAGAGCAGACAGAAATTTATTTTAAAGCAATTTTTAGTATATGTGTATTTTAGCATTTAAGTTGAAAGTAAATTTACATACTAATGAAACAAATATGCTTGTTTGTCTTACATAAAGAATGATACTCGGACTGAACATTCCATACTACAGGACCTAGAGCATTTTCAATAGTTTTTCAGAGTTGATTGATATTTTCATTTTATAATCATCAATTCTGAGAATATTGCTTTGCATACGTAGAACACAGTAGAAAATGTTAAAAGTTTGTTTAGGGTCATTCAGAAATTGATGGAAATTCTGTTCTTGCCCCAAGCCAAAATTCCTTTATTATTTTTATTATATTATTTTAATGACTTTTGTTTATACAAATGGTAGGTGAGCCGGTTTCTCCAGATGCCACCATCCCACCAGAGTGCTGTTAGACGAAGGAGGTAGATGATGCAGGCTCCACCTGTTATAGAAATGACGCTTCTGTTTGAGATGGAAGGCCTTCCAGGACAGTATTTGTGGGATCTGTCAGATAGGATAGAAATGATGTCAGGAGAGCACCCCAGGGCCCCCTTTTGTGACAGTGACTCCTATGAAGTTAGGTGACCAGTGCTGTAGCTGTCACTTGTCTGTCTTAGGAGCACCTGCACCTTGGAGAAAGAAGGCAGTGTTAGGAGCTGATGAGTATGTAACAAGTGGCCAGTAGATGGTGCTAAAACATTTGCTCATCCAGTGAATGATTAAGACTGGAAGCTAGCTAGTGTTAGTCAACTCAAACTCCTAATAAAGAAGCAGCAGTAATTTTGATATAGTGTACAGCTTTGTTATTGATTATAAAGTTATGAGTGATACAACACAAGCTGTCTTAGGGAAACATACCGAGCGTTGGGCCTGCCTGTACAGCTTGTTTTGAGACAGGGGCTTGCTGTATAGCCCAGATGGGCCTTGAACTTGTGATCCTCCTGCTTCAGCTTCCTAAATTCTGGGCTTAGGGATTATAGATGGCTGTTGTTTACTTATGACAAGTAGTTTCTACTCAGTGTATTGTGGTAGAAGGTCAATTGCGTGGTAATCTTGAAGACTTGTCTAAAGAGGTGTTGCTTCTCTGTTTCACTGTATTTCCAGAAGAAAGAGCTGGGTGGCTTAAGTCCTGAGAAGAGGTAGAGTGGGGGTAGGGGGGAGAGAGAGAGAGAGAGAGAGAGAGAGAGAGAGAGAGAGAGAGAGAGCGCTATCTTAATTAGTATAGATTGCATGTTTGTATGTGGACTGACATAGTTGTTGAACGAGGTAGCTGTTGTCTGCAGCCTCTACTGAGTCGGGTGATGGATTAAAGGTGAGAATTTTACTCAGTACTAGTAGCTTCAGGATAGGCTACTTACAGTCTCAGGGGTGCTGATTGCAGAGGAGAAAGCGCCCTGTCTAGCCTCTGCTAGGTTCACTGTGGCAGAAACTACATCTTTTACATTGAAAGACATTCCTGATTACAACTCAATTAAAAATTCACAATCAGGGCTATGGAGATTGCTTAGCAGATGAAATGTCTACCACGCAAGCGTGAGGACCCTGGTTTGGATTCCACGCACTGACGTACAAACGGGTTGTGGTGACATGTATATGCATCTCCAACACTGGAGAGGAAGGTTGGTGATAGGTATATCCTGGAGGGTTTCTGGCAAATCAGTCTAGCCAAATGGCAGTTCCAGGTTCAGTGAGAGGCCCTGTCTCAAAACAAAACAAAACAAAACAAAAACAAAAACAAAAACAAAAAAAAAAAAAACCCAAAAGTAAGGGTGGAGAGCAGTAGATAGAGAAAGACACCCGATGTTGACCCCTGGCCTCTGTACCTGGCCTCCTCCCATGCCTGGGTGCATGCGCCCACAGACACACACTCACACATGCATGTATATGACACACACGTATATGAACATGCATGTTGTACACACACAATAATAAAAATTAATGAAGACTACAATTATTATATGGCTTTCCTGCTCTCCACTTCCTGCATTAGGCTTTGTTCTTTGCATTGTTCTTTTACTGGTCCATTACTCCCGAGATTTTATTTAGTAATGGTAACTGTGTCTTGGTCCGCTCAGGTTGCCTGCATCTTTAGATGAAGGTGTCTAGATGGATCAAGGTTAGATCATGGGCCCCTGCTCCTGGTTACCCATGTTATGAAGTTTGTATACTTGGTTCCTTGGTTACCTTTACTTATTTATTTATTTCCCCCAGTCCAAATTTAGCTTTTGGTTTTCAAGTTAAACTTCTGTTCAACTAGTGTCTGCTGTCAGTCTTGCTGGCCAGTTATCGCCTCTAATAGGCTAAGATACTTTGCATATGTTGCTTTTTTTTTTTTTTTTTTTTTTTTTTTTGCTTTGACACACCATCCCTTTTCTTTCCTGCCTTTGAAGTGTCCCACTCCGCTCAGTTGCTACCGCAGTAGTAGACACTAATTTCCCTGCGCTCACAGCACAGCCTGTACTTCACATCACGGCGGCACCTACTCCCATCTGCCCTTCATTGTCCTGTCTTCCTGTGAACACAGAGCGAGTGTTCCAAGCATCTGCCATGGCCAGTGCGTGGCCTAGTATTCATACGCAACCGTGGCTCAGCAAATATTGCTCAGCTCGTCATCCTGGGCGTCCTCATCAGGTCTTCA